ATTATTTGGTGGACTTTTTCTGTAATGCCTAGTCCCTAGTCTTGGGAGCAGCCGATGATCTTGGTTCCCATGGGGCAAAAGATTATTTTGACTAATGAAACACCTGGGCAACCCTTCCCCCCCCCCATTCTATGTGGCAACTTAGAATGAGAAGGGAAATGGCTGCAGCCGTGCTCATTTGTAGAGTTGACAAAGGGCTTTAAAATTGAGGGGGAAGGTGACCAATCCTTAGGATCTTTAGGACCTAATCCCAAGCATAAACCTTAAAACAAGCAAACAATGAGGTAGGGAGTGATGGGAAGAAAAAAAAGTCAGAAATAAAGTAAGAGATATAGGAAGCATACGCAGGGTCAGCCATAAAGGACTCAAATGCCTATAAACAAATGCTCAACAATTGGGAAACAAACAGGGTGAACCTGAAGTTTTAATACACGAGGACAAGTATCAGATATAGTTGCCTTTACTGAAACTTGGTGGGATGAAACTCATAACTGGAATGTACTGATTGAAGGATACAAACTGTTCAAAAGAAACAAACCAAACAAAATAGGAGTTGTAATATATGTAAGATACAGTATCACTACATATCTACAGAAATGCACAAAACCAAGGATGAAAGCCTCCTAGATGGCATATGGGTCCATATACTGTAAAAGGAAAAAAGAATGTGACAGTTGTATACTACAGGCCACCTAATCAAGCACAAGAGATAAATGGCTTTTTGCTAACCAGTTAACAAATCAATATAGGAAATATGCCACAGTAGTAATGGGGGATTTTAACTACCCTGACATTGACTGGGAGACAAACTCTGCATTAAGTAGGAGATCGAATAGGTTCCTGACCTATCCAACAAATTTGTCATCCAAAAGTTAGAGAAAGGAACTAGAGGGACAGCTATACTGGACCTAGTTCTTACTAACAGAGAAGAAGTGATAGAGGGGGTTGAAGTTGCCAGAACTTTTGGGGAGAGTGACCATGTCATATTGGAATTCAATGTAATGCAAACACAAACAAAAGAACCTAATCAAACCAGTATCTTAGACTTTAAAAGAGCTGATTTCCACAAACTTAAAGAGATATTGGGAAGGATTCTATGGTGAAAATCTTAAAGAGGAATACAACTCAATAAACTTGGGAAACTCTGAAAAATATGATTATAAAAGCCCAGTTCAGCTCAATACTACTGAAAAAGAAAAACAAGAAATCCAAGAAGAAACCAGCATGGTTACACAAGGAAATCTCTGAAAAACTGAAAAACAAAAAGGATAAGTAGAAAACAATGGAAAGAAGGACACTTAACTAAGGCATAATACCAACAAATAGCCCGAACTTGCAAAGATGAAGTCAGGAAAGCAAATTCTCAGAATCAAGTAAGATTTGCAACAAATGTCAAAAATAATTTTAAAAATTTCAACATATAAAAAACAAGAAATAGTCAAGGCAACAATCAAGTCCACTAATGAGTAAATGAAGTAACAGGCAGCAGAGAGAAAGCAGAGCTACTTAATTCATGCTTAGCATATGTCTTCATGCAAAAAGATAATACACAGCTGAACCTACCAAAAACATAATCATAAAAAAGATAGGCACACAAATTAAAATAAGCAAGAAAATGGTCAGAGAACACCTGTCCGATTTTGATGAATATAAATCACCAGGATTTGGTGGATTACATCCCAGAATTCTGTAGGATCTGGCAGATGTGATAGTAGAACTATTGAACCATATTTTTTCAAAGATCCTGGAGCACTGGGGAACTATCAGAGGACTGAAAAAGAGCTGATGTGGTTCACATCTTCAAAAAAGAAAAAAAAAACTACAGACCAATCAGCTTGACATCAATACATGGGAAGCTCCTGTTAAAGATAATCAAGCAAAAGATCTGCGAACACCTAGAAGCAAGCAAAGTAATCAGAACCCCAACATGGGTTTGTAAAAAACAGATTCTGTCAAACAAATCTTATTTTTTTCTTTGATATAGTGACTAAATTAGTGGACCAGCGAAATGCTGTGGACATAGTATACCTGGATTTCAGTAAGGCATTTGACAAAGACCACGACCTACTTCTTCCTAAGCTAATGTGTGGAATAGACAACATCACCACCAGATGGATTTGTAATTAGCTGACAAGTCGCACTCAACGTGTAATCTTTAATGGAATTACATCTACATGGAGGCAAGTAAGCAATGGAATATCCCTAGGTTCTTTATGCCCTGTACTCTTCAACATCTTCATAAACTATTTAGATCAGGGAACTCATCAAATTTGTAGATGACACAAAACTGGCAGGAATAGCCAACACCCCAGAAAATAGGTTCAAGATCCAGATGGATCTCGATAGACTTAACCTATTTTTCAAAGTACCAGAAGGCAACACAAGAAACAATGGGTGGAAACTGATCAAGGAAAGAAGTAACCAAGAACTAAGAAGAAATTTCCTAATAGAATAATTAACCAATGGAATGGCTTGCCTTCAGAAATTATAGATTCTCCATCACTGGAGGCTTTTAAGAAAAGATTGAACAGCCAGTTGTCTGAAATGGTATATGGTCTCCTGCTTGAGCTGGGAGTTGGACTAGAAGACCTCCAAGTTCCCTTCCAACTCAGTTATTCCATATTATTCTGTAACCCCATTTGCCAGATGTCAGCTCATCCAGGTTGAGACCAGACATTTTATAAAACAGAAGCATAATATGCACTTGATTCTTCAGTCAAGGTTTTATTTATGGCTTTATTCCATGGGCCTCCATAAAAGGCCAAAGCTTCCTTTTCAGTAGAAATGGCTACTATTAAGGTGATCAACTTTTTTACAATGAAAAGGAGGACATAAATAAATTGAAGAAAAATTATCATAAATAAAAGAAACATTTTATTCATTGCAACAATAATACAGAATACACTATAATATGATACATGCATAATAAAAAAACATTTGTAACAATAACATTTTATATTGTAATTATGCTTACATGCCGCGCCCCCGCCCACAGCCGCCCCGCCAGCACTGCTGCCCCACCATGTAGAGCAGGCCCCGCGGCTCCCAAAGCACCAGCTGCGCCAGGGGGGCAGCCCGCCATCAACACACCCCACCTGCAGCCGCCTCACCAGCACCACCGCCCACCCTGCACAGCCCTGTGTAGAGCAGGCCCTGCGGCTCCCACAGCACGGGGGGCAACCAGCCACCACCGCCCCTCACACACCCCCGCCCGCAGCAGCCCCTCTGCCCCTGCCTCTTGCGCCTGCAGCCATTATTGCCCTAGCAGGGCCGAAGATCAAGAGTGGCGTCTCCGCTCCAGTCTCTTCCAGGTATCTTTGGGACTAACTAGGAGATGGTGTAGTTGGGTAGCAGGAGGGGTGCAAAGTTCCTGCCAATTCGCCTTTGCTGCAGACAACTTACAGGGGCAAAGTTTGCTGGCCGGGTGTTTTGGTACACTCAGCAGCAATTCCTATTGGCTTTTGAAAGCCAATAGGGGGAGTAGCACAGTTCATGCAAAAGTTGAAAAAAAACCATCAAAAAAGGTACTGGAACGCAATTCTGAGCATCCTATGAGAAAAAAAAAGCCCTGCAGATTAGTCTTCAAATATCGAAAAGGAGGACATGTAGGAGGACACTTTTTGAGGGAGGACAGAACTTAAAAAAGGAGGACTGTCCTCCCTAAAGGAGGACGGTTGGTCATCTTACTACTATATTACTACCATGTTTCTCCAAAAGTAAGGCCTACACCAACAATAAGCCCTAGCTTGATTTTTGGGGGTGGGCCTAATATAAGCCCTATCCCAAAAAAATAAGCCCTAATTTTGGGGCGAGGCACACCCCTAAAAATCAAGCTAGGGTGGGGGTGGGGGTGAAGTTGCTCCATCCACCCCATACCTACTTAGCTTGCAGCCAGGCCTCTCCTTGCCAGCCCACTTCTTCCGAGGTCTGTTCTACAGCCAGGACTCCATTTCTCAGCCACAGGGCTTTCCAGAAGGCCTGTGCAGCTGTGCACCAAGCTATGGTTTGAATCCATAGCTCGGTTCTGCAAGACCTTAGCAGCTGTGCACCAAGCTATGGATTGAATCCATAGCTTGGTACTTGGCTGCTTAGGCCTTCTGGAAAAGGCCTCCTGACTGCAAAATGCAGGCCCGAATGCAGCTGTAGAACTTTGGCCCCAGAAGAAGTGGACCGGCTGGGTGGGGCTGTCGCTGCCAGAGGTGAAGTAAGGCCTACCCCGAAAATAAGACCTGGTGCCTCTTGAAGGCAAAAAAATTTAAAAATAAATAAGACCCGGTCTTATTTTTGGGAGAACACGGGTATGATGCTTCTCATCTTTCCTATTACCTATCCTTATCTTCTTATGACTATAACTTTGCTACTTGTATCTTACAATTTATATTGTTTATTTTTTTTTGTACCCTAAGTATGATTTATGTTGTTTGCTTAGCTAGTACTCTATGACTATCACTTGTGATTTATGATGAAGTGTTGTAATTTCATGATTTATGATGAATGTATTTTCATGTTGTATATGATCATGATTATCACTATTACTTGTATGTACACTGAGAGCTTATGCATCGGAAACAAATTCCTTGTGTGTCAAACCACACTTGGCCAATAAAGAATTCTATTCTTTAGTACCAAGATTGACAACACCCAGGACAGGGCCTAGAAACTAGTAAACATGGAGCAAGTAGCCTTACTTTGACATTTGTCTGTGACCTTATTTCCACCTTGAGAAGCCACTACCTTTTTGAACAGAGGTCATGCTCAGAAGTTCTTGATAAATGTCAACTTCACATTATATTTAACTTATCCTTAGGCATCAAGGAATATTTATTCCTACTTTGTTAGTCTTTGGTATGCTGTAGTTAATCTCATTATGTGTTAAATGAGCCAAAGACTCAAGCCTTGGGCTGAAAAGAAAAGCCTCCAAATTAGTTGATTATATTTGATCTGAAGTCTTATTCTATCATACCTCTGTGTGAATATAGTTGCTTAAATTTTTATTTTAGGCTCTAAAAATGAGACTTACAAACCAGTACATTGTTGGAAATGATGACCCACAAAGTTGCTTTCAGTTGGATATTGATATTTCAGGATTAATATTCATGCATCATCCTTGCTTTAGCCGTGAACATATTCTGGCAGCAAAACTGGGTCAATTATTTGATCAGTACCACTCCAGAAAACAGAGAAATCTTACTAGACTCCTTACAGATAAGGTAATTTTACAATTTTTTTCAGTTTGCAAATGTGTAAATAAAATAGAAATTGACATTTTTGTACAGAAGTCTATATTTGCAAATGTTATATGCAAATGTTAAAATATATTTATCGTTGAATACCAGAAAATCTACTTCTGTTATTAGATTAAAAACTATATACTGCTAACTACTTGTGCTTGCCAAACTTTACTGACTCATTAGCTCAGCTGTGATATTATGGGATGTATGTACAGATTTTGGTTTAGAATAAATGCAAAACACTCTAAATCAGTGGTTCTCAACCTTTTTAATGCCGCGACCCCCAACCGGTCGTAAGTCGAGGACTAAACCAGTCGTAAGTCAAGGACTAAACCGGTCGTAAGTCGAGGACTACCCAACTGGTCGTATGTCGAGGACTTTCCCTGCCCGGGAGCGCTGCACATGCGTGGTGCCGCCCCCTGCGCCGGCCGAGGCGTAGCTGGCAAGCGGCAGAGATGGAGCAGGCCGACCACTGGCTGGGCCACCTGCTGGCCCAGCCCAAGGCAGGTAAGGCACCCGCCGGAAAAGGGGAAAAATATGGCGGACAGCCTTGCTTGGCGACTCCCGTGAAATGGTCGATCGACCCCAAATGGGGTCACGACCCATAGGTTGAGAACCGCTGCTCTAAATGAAGAAGAATCTACTTTTGAATGCTTGATTGCCTATAAACAATTGGGTAGGGGTTTTTTTTTTTGGTTTTTTTAGGAGTAGTTTATTTGGACAGATTTAATCAACCAAAGTCTTTCAGTTTGAGCTCAACACACTGAATATTTGTTTAGTTTATGGTATTTCTCTGCCACTTTTCTATAATAGATTGTGCCAAAATCGGCTAACATCAAATATTATATATAAAAACACACCAAACCAATTAATTATAAAATGCATAACAAATTGAGATGGAACAAAACCAACTACTCCCATCCAGTATAGGTAGTATTCAACTTACAATAACAGTTGAGCTCAAAATTGATGTTGTTAAGTGAAACATTTGTTGTGAATTTTGCCCCATTTTATGACTTTTCATGCCACAGTTGTTAAGGGAATCACTGCAGTTGTTAAGTGAATCTGACTTCCGCATTGACTTTGCTTATCAGAAAGTTGCAAAAGTTGATCACATAATCTTGGGACTTTGCAACCGTCATAAATATGAATCAGAAGAAATTAAACATTGTACTACTGATCATGGGACCATGAGGATACTGCAATGGTCATAAGTGTGAAAAGCGGTCATAAGTCACTTTTTCACTGCCATTGTAACTTTAATGGTCACTAAACAAACTGTTGTATGTTGAGGACTATCTGTATTATAATTATTTGATGTATCACCAAAACAGTTCTCAAATTTATGGTAAATAATGCGCAACCCAACTTCTGCTGTTAATTAGTTTATTGCTATGCTCTGATTTTGTGGTAGTATCTTTGTCAAAAAGCATTGAAGAAAGTTAGGTCTCTAAAACATTGTCAAACAGTAGGATTCTTTAAATACAGCAAATAATAGAATCTTAGAATTGGAATAGACTTTTGGGTCATCTAGTCCAGGGCTTTTCAACCTTTTCACCCATTGTACCACTTTTAGGATAAGGCAACATCCGGGTACCACCACTCATCCAGCAAGGTGTCAAAAACCTGACCCCCGCCCCCAAAAAGGAAAAAAAATGATAAAGTACAGGCAGTCCTCGACTTACAACAATTCGCTTAGTGACTGTTCGAAGTTACAATGGCACTGAAAAAAGTGACTTATGACCATTTTCAACTGATGACTGTTGCAGCATCCCCAGGGTAATGTGATTTACATTTGGATGCTTGGCAACTGATTCATACTTATGACATTCACTGTCCCAGGGTCATGTGATCACCTTTTGCAACTTTTTGACAAACAAAGTCAATGGCGGGCTCATCACTCAGGTTGCAGGATGCTTGTGTGGGGGGAATCCCTGGGTCTCTAATGGAGGGGGGTGGGACCGGGGTGGGTGCCCTCCCTCTCTCCCATTGTCCTTTCCTTCTTTCCTTCCTTTCTTCCCTCCTTCTTTGTCCCTTCCTCCTTCCCTCCCTCCTTCCATTGTCCATCCTTCCCTCCCTCAGGTTGCAGGATGTCTGTGGGGGGGAATCCATGGGTCTCTGGTGGTCTCTGGGACTGGGGCGGGTGCCTTTCTTCCCTCCCTCTCTCCCATTGTCCCTTCTGTTGAGTCCTTGCCGAAAAGCAGACACGAGAAGCAGTTGTAGTTCTCAGGTTTTCTTTTATTCTGTGTTCAGCTTACAGGTGAAGGCTTCAGCAACGCCCAAAAGCTCCCAGCCTCTTATATAGGCAATTCCCGGGTCAATGTGTTACTTTTCCCGCGCCAGCACCCGCGCATGCGCACAGGCGCTGGCGACAGCCTGTCTGGTCCCGGGCAGCTTGCACCTGCCCGGGACTGCCTGCAAATGCCCCGAGCCCGTTTGCAAGGCTCGGGACATAACACCCCTTTCCCCCGGGCTAAGACTACTACCAACATACAATTGTTTCTTGATGCAGTGTTCTATTCCCCAGTGCTCCTACTGTTTACTGGCTTTTGTTTAGCCAGCAAGGTTATGTAATCCTCTAAGTACTTAGGAGATTTCCTTGCTCTCTGTGACCTTCTCAGCTCTGGGTTTCTGACAGGTGTTCCCTGACTGAGGGGAGACGTGAGCCTGTTCTCCTTATCATGCCTTGGTGCCTTCCAAGGACTGTGCCCCAATGCCTGGCCTGCTTGCTTGCCCACCGGGCTCGTCAGGCCAGGGCTTCTGTCACTTTGTGACCTGGTTGACCCGCCTAGCTGTAGGCCCTCGGGCCCCTTGAAGTGATAGCCACTGCTGGGCGTCTCTGTAGAACCTCCTAGGTCCGTCCAAGACCTGTCAGGAGGCTGTCCATCCCCTAAGCCCCGTTCTATGTCCGGGCTTGTGTAGGTTTCTGTGCCTTCCCAAAACTCAGTTGCTCCCTGATTTGGGCTAGAGGTGTTATGGTCGGGACTTGGTTCCTCGACCACCTCCCTGTATGTTTGACCCCCTGTAGGACTTGGGGTAAGGTCAGGCCAACTCTGGGGATTATGTGCCAGCTCTCTTGCGGGGTATGCTTTATTGGGACGCTCCCGGGTATCCTCCCTGACTGGAGTGCTGTGTGGTGTAGATGGATAGTGATTGTGCCCCCGGGGTGACTCCCTGGCTGGAGTAGGCGTGAATGCCTGATGATTGGGTAAGCCCCATGAATTCCTGTTTGGGGCACTCGCGGAATCTTGGAATGGGCCGTTTGTGGCTCCATCATTGGAGGTGGGCAGCAGCTCGTGCTCTTCCCTTTGCTCCAAAGGGTCCCCCTCCCCCCCTGGAAAAGACCCAGGAGTCTCAGCTGGAAGATCCCGCCTAGGGCGGAGTTGGTCGATGTGCCGGCGCAGGACACGACCGTTGTCCAGGGCTACCTCGTAGGATAGAGGACCTGTGACCCTGGAAATAGAAGCGGGGACCCATGTATGACCAGGCCCGTAATTGCGAGTCCAAACCGGGGCACCCACAAGTAGTTGTCTAGGTGCCCTAGGATGTGAGGTAGACGAAGGCAGTCTGTCCGGATGCAACCAGTCAAGCTTCGTAGTAAGTTTGCGCCCCCAGCGAAGTTCAGCTGGGCTTCTCCCTGTAGAAGTGGACGGTGTGGTGCGGTAAGAAAGGAGAAAGTCATGCCAGTCCCCATAGGTGAGTCTTTTCAAGGCGTCTTTTGTGATGCAGACCATGCGTTCAGCCATGCCGTTGGTGGACGGGTGGAAGGGTGCAGACGTGGCATGACGAATCATGTTAGCCTGTAAGAAAGCTTGGAATTCGGAGGAAGTAAATTGAGGGCCGTTGTCAGACACGATGACATCTGGGAGCCCGTGTGCAGCAAAAATCCCCCTCAGTACCTGGATAGTCTTTGCAGTGGTGGTGGATGAGACAGGTACAAACTCAAGCCATTTTGAATGACTGTCAACGAGGACCAAGAAGAACTGGCCCTGAAAGGGCCCAGCGTAGTCAATGTGCACCCTAGACCATGGGGACTGTGTATCCTCCCATCTATGCACAGGAGCTTGGGGCATCTCTGGGCGAGAGCGCTGGCACAGGTGGCATGCATGCACCTTAGCCTCAATGTCCTTATCTAAACCAGGCCACCACAAGTGGCTGCGCGCAAGGGCCTTCATGCGAACAATGCCAGGATGACCCTCGTGGAGGGACTCTAAGATCCTAGTCCTCATTGAGGTGGGAATGACAACTCTGTTTCCCCAAAGCAGACAACCCTGAGAAGTGGACAACTCGTTCCTTTTGGACCAGAAACTCTGAAACTCAGGACTAGGGCAGTGCTCAGGCCATCCAGACAAAACCCAAGAAAGGACACGTGAAAGTGTGTGATCTGTGCCTGTTTCAGCGGCGACATCCCTGGCATTCAGAGGGGACTCGGGCAAGGCTTGGATGGATAGAATGTTGACAGCTGGCGCAGGGTCAGCTTCTACTACTGGCAGGGGCAATCTACTGAGGCCATCAGCATGGCCCATTTCTTTCCCAGGCTTGTGGAGTAAGGAAAAATCATATGCAGACAGAAAAATAGACCACCTAAGCATTCTAGGGGAAATGATTTGGGGAGTTTGTTTACGTGTGGTAAACAGTCCCAGCAGAGGCTTATGGTCAGTGAAGACCGTGAAATGCCTGCCATACAAAAAATCATGGAATTTTTTAATTCCAGCAACAACAGCCAGAGCCTCCCTGTCTATCTGAGCGTAGTTGCGCTCAGCAGAAGACAGTGTTCTGGAGTAATATGCAACAGGAACCTGAGTTCCATCAGACCTGAGGTGGCTCAGGACGGCTCCTACCCCGTAAGGGGAAGCATCACAAGCGATGCACACAGGAAGGGACTCATTGAAGTGTGCAAGTACACTGTTAGAAGTGAGTAAGGCCTTGACCTCATTGAAACTAGCCTCATGTGTTTGTGACCACTGCCACACTGCTTG